AAAAAAAAAAAAAAAACCAAAACCCATTGCCATCGAGTTGATTCCAACTCAGTGACCCACATTGGGTCTTTGAGGAAGTGAATCTTTACATAAATAGATCGCGGCATCTTCCTTCTGCACTGTACCACCACAGCTGCTTACTTAAATTTTTAGGATTGATTAATGAGGAAAATGTTCCAAGGTCCTTGCCTTAATGACTCTTACATTCTAGTGGAGGGGGACAGGAAGGATTAGGCTACATTAAAGACTCCAAGAAGTGAAAACCAAAACCAACAAACCCATTGCCATCGAGTCGATTCCGACTCATGGTGACTCCCATAGGGTTTCTGAGGCAGTAAATCTTTACAGGAGTAAACTGCCCCATCCTTAATCCATGAAGTGAGGGAAGACGTGAAGAGGGTATACAGGGAAATGGGGGAAGAGCATTTCAGAGTCAACGTTACTATAGGGGAAGGAGGCTTCTGTACAGCGGGGATTGCTTACACCCCAAACTTACCCTGACCCTACCCTTCACTTTGACCATGACCCTGGCTCTCAACCTAACATCCTTATTCTAATCCTGACCTTGATCTTGACAATGACCATGACTCACACTAAACTTGACCCTCAGCCACACCGTGACTCATACTCACCTGGGATTGAACCTGATCCTCCGACCTACTCGCCCTACTCTCACTCTTAAACTAATCTTTTCCTTCACCCTTAGCCTTTTGTGTATGTTGTTTTAAGCCTTACTGTGGTTATGGGTTAACTTGGCTAGGCCTAGTTCTGAGTGGCTGGGCATCTGGATGTAGTTATTTCCCATGATGAGACTGGCAATCAGCTCCTTGGAGGAATCTGCCACGAGCAACTGAGTAGCTCCTTTAGGGATATAAAGTATATTAGAAGCTTTGAGATTGCTCTACAGCTTTTGGCATGCTTGAATCCTGCATGTGGCTGAGTGGTTATTGAGCAGCCTGCCATGTTGTCTCCTGATCTTGGGACTCTTAATGGGCTTAAGTCAATGGCCTGCTGTGTGGTTTGGTAGTATCTGGACTGTGCCTTTTTACTTGTCAACATAGGGTTTGTCAGCCTCAGCAGCTAATGCCTGTTGGAGTGAAGAAAGCCTCCAGCTTTAGTGGGCTGGGAGCAAGAGGTAGAGCCCAAGGTCAAGGCCTTTCACCCAGTGCCTAGAGCCTGGCCCTTTGAACTCAGACTTTTAGCCTCCAAAACTGTAAGAGAATAAATTCCTGTTTGTTAAATTCACCCATTTGTTGTATCTTCTGTTAGAGCGCCACTAGAGGTAACCAAAACACTTACCCTGATCCTGATGCACAGCCTTACCTTCACCTCAAGCTCAAGGTATCTGTGACCCTCACCCTCACACTTAGACCATCCCCTGAGCTTGACCTTGAATCTGACCCTGACCTAATGATTTTTTTTCCCACAAGATTAGGTCCTGCTAATGACTTTGACCCTGAATGGGAGTCATTTAAATCTGACCCTCACATATCCTGACCTGACCTGAACCTTGACCTAGACTGACCCCTGAGCTTGACCCTGAACCTCAGCGCTCACCTATACCATGTCTCTGATCTTCACCCTGACATATTAATCCTCATTGTGTAGTGAATTACTTGGTATGGCTTTTCTAGCCACAGTCTTTGTAACTCCCACTGGATTACTAGGTGGTGGTGGTGGTGATAGGTGCCGTCCAGTCAGCTCTGACTCAGTGACCCTATGTACAAAAGAACAAAACACTGCCTGGTCCT